GTCCGGGGCCTCGCAGCCGGCCTGGGAGCTCGGCTGGGCGGAGCGGCGGGGGCCAGCGCCCTTGTGCCGGGGACGTTATTTAGCCGGCAGCCTTCAGCGGGAGCAGAGTGACTCGCTGGGCACCGACAGCCTCTAATAAACGACAGGGCTTCATGGTTTTCACCGCGCGGTCTAGTCACGAGGCTGAATTGTTGTTTTAACTTGAGACAGGCAGGCAGAATGAATGTCAGTTGGGTTGTAAACGTCATAAAACACTTCCTTGAGTACAGTCTTCAGAGAAATCGTTGGTTTGTGCCCAGGTCGGTTGAGCGGCTGCCCCTCCTTCAGCGCAGACGGATCCCTCTCCTCTGCCTCGGGAGGTGAAGCTGCAGCGGTTCTAAAACCAAACCCGGAAAGGCACGTGCCAGTGCCTGGCTTCTCTCAGACGCGTGCTTTAGAGGAAAGGAGCAACTTGCCACATAAAGGAATTCGGAGCCCCATATGCCTTGAGGTGCCTCATTGATCTGGTTCACTTTTGTTTCCCCCTGCTCCTGTTTTCTCGTCGCAGAATTATGGATCCGAGCCTGCTGAGAGAACGAGAGCTATTCAAAAAAAGAGCCCTCTCTACTCCTGCTGTAGAGAAACGTCCAGTGTCTTCTGATTCTTCATCTTCTAAAAAGAAGAAAGCAAAAGTAGAGCAGGGTGGATCATCAAGCTCAAAACAAAATGCAGGTTGGTAAAGTAGCTCTGGTTTTAGGGTTGGTTTTGTTTGGCAACTGTCTGTGTGTCCCAGTTAATTTGAATGGGTCACTGCTTCCACGATCTTAAGTAGCCCATCATGCTCTAAAGCAGGGGTGGGCAATTATTTCGAGCAGAGGGCCGCTTGCTGAGTTTTGGCAAGCCATCGAGGGCTGCGTGACAGGCAGCCAAGGGCAGATAAATATTAATTTTCTAAATTTTTTTAGGGGCTCTACGGGCCAGATAGAATGGTCTGGCAGGCTGCATCTGGCCCCTGGGCTGCATTTTGCCCACCCCTACTCTAAAGCAATGGGGACAAACCTTTTCGGCAGGCAGGCCGCAAGTTAAGCCCCACGCCTCCCAAGGTGCCATGTCCAATCCCCTTCCCCTGCTTGATCTGCTGCTCTGCTTTCTGCTCTCTATTTCCTGCCCTATTTGTTTCTCTTCATTTGTCTCCCTGCCCTGTGCTCCCTGCCTGATCTGTTGTTCTGCTTTGTTCCTTGCCCTTGTCTTTTGCTATGTTCCCTGGACCCTTTCTGTTCTCCAATATGCTACCTGCAGAAGTGGCCTGTTGCATGTGTGCTGCAGGTTGACCGCCCATGCTCTGAAGAGCAGTCTCTTACAGTTCTTGCTTAAGCACCTTAGCATGAGACTAGAGTGGAGATTGTGTGTCAGCTTTTCCCCCCTGTCTTGAGTTGTGTGCCATCCCTGAAATAGCATAAATGCTACTCTGAATTTTTCAGTCAGTTTATGCTTGACCTTGGTGCATGAAGAAGTTCTTGATGCCTGTGGCTCTGCAGTGTTCTAGCTCAGTTGTGTTCAACTTTTTTTGCCAGACAGGCCAGATGAGCAGTGCCCAGTCTGTCCACAGGCCAGATCTGGCTGATGATCCTATTCCAGAGATTGGGGTGGGCGCAGCCCCATTGAGTCCTGCAGGGGTGGTGGCATGATCTAGTTCAGATCCAGCCATGCAGGGTGGGAGGTGTGCCCTGGTCCTGCAGGAAGAAGGTGGCATGGCCTGGCCCTGAACCAGTAGTAAAGGGAGAAGGGGCACGGTCCAGTCCCAACCTGCTGCACAGACTTGGGAGTTTGGCAGCAGAGGAGTTTGGCAGTATTCATTGCTACTGCTCCACTGCTAGACTTCCTGACCTATGAGGAGCTTTGTGGTCTGGATGGGCCACATCTGGCCTGTGGGCTGGAGGATGGACACCCCGGCCCTAGCTCTTTCTACCAGCTCTGCTACTCCTTTTTGTTGTTTCCCCAACTTTGCAATGTTTTTCTATCTAGGTTTGTATGTCAGAGCCAAGTCTCATAGCATCTAATCCTCATCCTCCACACATGCCACGATGTTGTTTAGCCACATGCGCGCACACACCTCCCCACAATATACAAGAGTAAGACTTCTTTTTAAGCGATTGTACAATCACCTCTATGTACACTATACAAACAAAAGTAAATCAGGACAAAATATTTTTTTGAAATCAGATTAATTAATGTTGTAGTAGATGTTTGATTTTTAGAATATAATTTGGTATATTTTGGTTCCCCCCCCCCCCCCCCAATGCTGAAAAGAGTATTTCCTTGGGCAATGGGGAGGGACTTATGGTGGCAAAAGTTAGGGGGCGGTACTTCTGGTCCTAAGATGGTGACCAGGGTATGGGGCACCTGTCAAGGGTCAGGGCTACCCAAGCAGTCCTTGACAGCTTGTCAAAACTTGGTAAGCAGCCCTTTGCTTGAAATAATTGCCCGTCCCTATTCTAAGTGCATCCCAATACTCCCAAAAAAAAAAAAAAGTGGAGTGGGGAGGGTGGTGGGGGAGAATTCTCTCCCTTCCTTGTATTTCTTGCTATTTATTTATCTAGTTTAATTTGTCTATTCTTGCTGTTTATCTTGAGTGAAAAATGTAAGCTTGGACAAAGAAAAGGGTTTTGAATTTTTTGTATAGTATCTCACTCTTCATGTTGTGAAATCAGTGATCATTGTTTTGTCTTGGAGTACTTCTTGATCTATAAACTGGTGAAGGCGCTGTGACCTCCGATGTACCCGCGAGTTCCTCTGTCTTGGTCAAAGGTTGTTTTTGGTTTAATCTTAACAAAACTAAAAATGAAGGCAAGGATTTAGGGATTTAAAAATCAAGTCAGATATCCTTAAACTGGTCTATGAGCTCAGTGAAGAATTGGCCTAAAATACAGTGAATATGTTATTGAGTCTGCAGGTTTCTGCTGTCAGCCATCAATCTGATAGGTTGCCTAAAGCCTTTGCTTCAACTTCCCAATGCATTTCTGCAATACTGATTGATTTGATGCTCTAGCACAGGGGGTGGCAGCCTATGTCCTGTGGGCCGGATCTGGCTTGCAAAGATTGGATCCATCCTACAGCAGCTCTAGGAATCAAATCAGTGCCATGCTGCAGCAAGGATAACCCCCCACAATCTTTAACATTCTGGTGTGCTGTTCCAGTGTTTATCTTTTCCCTCAGTGCTTTGTTATACCATTGGCTTCTGCCTCAGTCCTGGATTTTATTTATTTTGGTTCCTCAAAGCACCTTGTCTCTACTGTTGCTAGATTTGCAGAAGTGATCTCAAGCCCTATGTGTAAACAGATATCTGTTTAGCCAGATAAAGGTTTTATCTTCCTACAGATGGCTCCTAAAACAGCCCATGAAACTTGGCTATGGCTTTTGTCTCGTGCCCTAGAGAAATGCAGAATTCCTCTGAACTCAGATGGTGGGACTCTTGGCCCTGAGAATTGCTGCTCTTGGTGCAAATTGATGCTTCTGCCCTGTCGCCTCTTGCATTGGCAGATTGACTCAGTGCCTTCACCGTGGTTCTTTCACTGCTCCAGGGTCCCCAGGAGAGGGTAGCATTGTACTTGGCAGTCAAGGAGGGACAGTGTATACATCTTAACATTACCATAGCTGCCATATTTCATACACTGAAGCCAAAACTGTTCTGCGAAGGATGCTGGCATTCCATCACTGCCTTATGCTGTCTGTATATACCCTTTTATCAAATTGCTGTCTTGTGATAGACCCTACTCCTACATTAGCCGTTCCCTGTTTGGGGCAAAAAGGGGTTAAGTGTTTGAATTGCATAAGACCATAAGAGTATGACAGAGTGGATCATTCTGCACGTCACATTTTTCACTCTTCCTCTAGCGTCTGCTTCTTGCCACCATTGGAAATGGGATTCTTGGCTACATGGATGTTTGGTCTGACCCAGTGTAATAGTTCTTATGTTCTTAGCTACTAAAGTTGGGGAAAAAAAGTAGTCTCACTAAGATAAAAAACTGAAAATCACTGGAATGAATAAACACACTTATTTTTTTTTCCTACTCCAGTAGTTCTTCCAGGTAGTTATTGAAGCATGTTAATGAGACCATATAAGGAAATTTGCATTGCTTTTGGCTGCCTCATACCAGTTCTGTAGACAGAGGACTGTCTGCAGCACTTCTTCTGGCACTGATCTCCATTGTTTAAAAACAAGCTGTTTGAATAAGAATCCATAACATGTTTAACCAAACTGCAAGGTTTATCTGAATGCTTAGACAAAGACTGCGTTAAAATGGATGTAAGAGTTTAAGTACATTGCAGGAATTTAGATGCAATATCTGTCATGGTTTTTCTCTTTTGAAACTATTGTCCAATTTATGATAGATCCAGGGAACTTTACTCTTTCTTGTGCTGACATTTTAATAACTGTGCATTTATAATTAATGCATCTCTTCTCACTGCTACTACATCCTGGCTGTATGAGTACTAGACTAGAAACAGACACCACCTTTGTGCCGCCATAAGTATCTATTGTTACAGCACAAGACCAAGCAAGCAGACATTCATGCCCCTTGTTGCACCACAAAAATTGCGGCAGCAACATGGGTAGTATAAATTTGTGCTGCTTTTATGTAGCAGATACCTGTTTGCTTTGGGGTAGGAGAATGCAGCCTGCTTGGAGTTGCCTGTCCTCTCCAGTTACACCTGGCAAGGGCACATGGGGCATTACATTGCTAGGGTGCACAGGATTGGGCCCCTGAAGCTCCAGGAAGATTTTCCCAAGTTCCCCTGTTTGCAGAGACGTGACCTGGGAATAGCTTAGTTGGGAATTTCTTGGGCAGGCATGCATATCATGCTACCATGCCCTTACTTGGGGTGTAGCAGTGGGATGCATGTACCAGTGGGATTCCCTGCTAGGAGATTCCCAGGGCACATCTCTGCAAGTGGAAAACCCGAGGGTTATCCCTTTTCGGAGACATCCCCCAGGTGTTGTCCTACAGTATTTGGTAGGACGTCACTGCTCCCGGGAGCAGCAGGGGTCTGACTCTGCAGGACAATGAGTGATGTCTGTGTCACCCAATAAAATAGATTAGCTGTCATCTCAATCAGCTATGATATTGAATAGGATAAGAATGGTCACTCAAGAGACATAGCTGGTCCATTTTCATCATCCTAACCAGGTGCCCTGCTAACTGAAGTCATTACTGACTATAGAACGGTCTTATACTTGGTTTTTTGTAGGCCTGCCTCAGTTTCTAATTCAATCTCCTTCTCCAAACATCATTTTACCTTTCTGGACTAACATTGAATACTATTTTTGAAGGAATTTAGCTATTTGTGTCTGTTCTTATTAAGGGCCCTGACACGCATTACATTTAAGATGCTATAAAGGTGTTAATCACATATAGAATAACCTGGCCACACGTTAAAGCCAATTTTTGCCTTGATAATATCGCAAACAAGCCGCAATGATATTCCATATATAATAGTTTCATAGTTGGTAGGGTCGGAAGGGACCTGAGCAGATCATCAAGTTCGACCCCAGTACTCTTTCCATGGCAGGAAAGAGTACTGGGGTCAAATAACCCCCGGCAAGGTGTTAATCCAGCCTCCTCTTAAAGACCCCCAGGATAGGAGCCAGCACCACTGGAAGTTGGTTCCAGCTCCTAGCCGCCCTGACAGTGAAGTAGCGCCTCCTGATAGCTTGTGACTGTTATTTCTCG